TTATTGGTTATCGGTTATGGATTTATCGATTATCGATCGTTATCGGTCGGGTTATCGGTTTAATCGTTAAGAATTGACACAAAAAATCATTGAAAATAACTTAGAAACAAGGTGACAAATTAAATTATCCATGCACATGAGTTCACAAATTGCATCTTGCTCAAAAGCAAGCAATTTTACATTGTAGAATAACCAAGAGTTTGAGACAACCATAAATAAATGTAGGAAACTAAACTCTAAGTCAAGGATTTAATATACAAGATGGTATATATATAATTATTTAATTTACTACTAGGTTATAGGTTAATTTGTAAAGAAAAAATCTTAAACCGTTAAGAACCGATAACCTGATAACAAAAACAAATCAAAATAGTTATCAAAACCTCTAAATCAATAACCTATTACTGATAAATCAATAACTTTTTTCAGTTTTGGTTTCGTTTTGAACAACCCTAGTGTCCGAGCTAGTTTTTGTGCACCTCGACTAATTTCATGAGATATATGTCACCTCCCACCAGCAATAGGTACCAGGTAACTCTGTCCACCAAGGCTAGGACAAATGAGAAGAATCACCTAGTATTTTTTCTTGTCTCAATTGAGTTTTGAATCTGAGACCTTATAATTCTCAATCACTTCATTGACCTCTAGGCTACACCCTTTAATATTTAGTATATTAGAAATTAGAAGAAAAATTATTGCAGTTCTATGTATGGAAACTTAAAAGTAGGTGCTTGATATTCCTCTCAAAGTAGTTTGACAAATGGCCTTTCCTGACTAGTCAGTTGCCAAATATTTTCCTCAGTACCAAATACACCCGTGATGAAATGATTTGTAGCCACAACTTCAGCTACTTAATTCCCAGAAGCACTTTTTTCTTCCTAAAGCACTTGTTGTCAACCTGTAACGACTTGATTCCATCGTTAGAGAAAAGCCAATAGGGAAAGAATTGGACCGGAAAAAAACTTTTGAGTAGTAACTTGGAATTTCCTAGCCTAGTCCAGATTTAGACGAAATCGGAGTCAATGAGGTCTAAGGAAATCTAGTAATAAATGAGAGATCTAATTATGATTTTGATCACATGACTAGATATTTAAGACGTTAAGGAACCTGTACGACTTTATAGAATCGAATTCGGGTGAGTAGAATTCCTGAAACTAATCTTCGCGTGAACGGATATTTTCTGAGTGTCATAGGATGAAGGTATGTTGTAAAATGGGGGTTTGAAACTCTTAATTTAGCTCTCTATTTCCGTGCAAGCCGCTAGGGTGGAATTATTCCCGCCAGGGTGGGGCCACTGTAGCGGGGTGAGGATCGCTGTGACGGGACAGTCGTGATTTAAGTTGAAAATAAATCCCAAAAACGTTTTATTTTGCAAGTTTTGACTTTGAGAGTTAAGGAACGACCCCAGAGGTTTTCTTGACAGTTTTCCATCATTCTTGAGGCTAAAGGTAAGGTTTTCACTCCCCGAATCCATTTTTCAATCTGTGGAACTTGGTTTCTTGGGTGATTATTGTTAGGAAAGGGTTTTGGAACTGTTTGGATGGTGGGAAAAGCCATAATCTAGGTATGGGGATCAAGGGTTTGGCCTAGGGTTGATAATGTTGATTATAATCCAGATAATTAGGCATCGTTTATTGATCCTTGCGTTAATTGTATGTTTTTAGACCACGAACAAGCGGGAAGAATCCGAAAAGGGAAGATTCAAGTGCCTTAGGGGATTCAAGCTTGTATTCGAGGTAGGTGATGGTTGTGATTTCATGTTAGTGTGATATATGTTTGTAATTGCTTCATTATAATGCATGTATGTATACGAATGTTGCATTATTGATCACCCTAATCGTAAATGAGGATAATTGAATAATTGTATGCCATGAATCACCTCTTGTTGTATGATTGTGAGAATATACATTATGATTGCGATTGTGGTTTGTTGAATGGAGCGGGTGTCACGATCCGACACGCTAACTGGGATCGGTTGCCACGTTTCGGCATAAAAATGGGATCGGTTACCACGTTCCGGCATAAATATGGGATTGGGTGTCATGTCCGGCACACTAACTTGGATCGGGTACCACTAACCGATACACTAACAGTTTGGGTTTGGATTCCATGAGAGGACCATTGAATTGGATTATGTGAGAGGACTATTGAATTGTGTTGTGTATCTACTTGTGATGATTATGTTCATATCTAATGGTGATTGAGGTTGAAAGATTGTTTGTTGCTCTAACATGATAACTAATGTGTATTATTGAGAACGTGGAATGCTACATTGATCCTGTAAAGATGACTAATATTGTATATGTTCGGTATATGCCTGTTTTATAATGTTGTGGTTACTTGCATGTGTTTCACTTATTGGGATAGTCGCGTGATCCTACCAGTACACTGTGGTTGTATACTGATACTGCACTTGCTTGTTGTTTGTTGAGTACAGAGCATCTTCAGGTGGCTATTGATAGACCTCAGCTTAGTGACTATTGAGCGTGACCGGATTAAAGGGTGAGCCATTTCTTTCAGGCTGCCATGGATCTTTCTTGTTTAAGTCCACCCTTTTCGGACTTAGACCATTTGTTTAAGGTGTTTTGTTTAGCTTTGGGGTTGTACCCCTTGTTCTTAGACTTGTTGTTAGTAGATTTTTGGTACAATGACTTTCAGGTTCTAGGGGTTGTTCTTCCGCATTAGTTTGGTTAGTTATTTGTTTAAATCTTTGGAGTTATGGGGACTCCATTTTTATTGTCATTTAAACCTGCTTCCGTATCTTTAAATGCCTTAGTTTTTAGTTAAGCTATTAGTTGGGTTGTAGTAATGGTTCTCCCACCGAAGGGTTAGTGTGGGTGTCAATCACGACGGTCTGGGTCGTGAGACAACCTTATTGACAACTGATTCAATAAGACTTTGCTCCAAATTAAATCACTCAAAATCTTTCTTAACCATAGAGCCTGATTAGTTGCACCAACAACAACAATGTATTCATCTTCTGTAGAAGAATCAACTACCACCTCTTGATTCTTTGAATTCCGTCATGAGAACATGTCTAAACCAAGTGTAAAAGCATATCCAAATGTGTTTTTCATATATCAACTACACTTCCTGCCCAATCATTATGGGAATAACCCAATCAATTGTCCTTGCTCTTCCTCTTTAAACCAAATACTACAATCAACAATTTCTTTGATATATCTATCAACATTCATTTAGCAACATCATGATCAACTTGACTTGGAGCTTGCATAAACTTCGTCAAAAAACTTGTCGCGAACATGAGATCAGGTCTTGTTGCTGTCAAATACAACAAACTACCAATTATACTTGTATAAACTATTGGATGAGCCTCGTCACCTCCTCCAAACTTTGAAATATTTTCATTGTGAAACCAGTGAGGTCAGTACAGACTTGCACCTCTCTATCTTGAACCTTTTAAGAACATCTTATGCATATTTTCTTTAAGAAATGAAGATTCCAACAGTAGTTTCCCAAAAATTAATTCATTTCACCCAAATCATACATTTCGAATTTAATCTCCATTTCTTGCTTGAACTGATTTACCATAGCATCATTGCTTTCTCTTAACAGAAGATTATCAACATAAAGTGACACCACAAGAACATCTCCTTCTTTAGCCTTCTTCACATATAAAGTGCGTTTCTTTTCAATTTCTTTTGAATCCACAATAAATGAGATGCGCATCAATCTTATTATACAAGGCTCGAGGAGCCTGCTTAATCCCTAAAATGACTTATGTAACTTGTAGATTTTATCCTCCATTCTTGAAACTTGAAAGCCTTTTCGTTGGCCAACATAAGTCTCCTTCTGCAACTGTCCATTTAAGAATGTCAATTTCACATCCAAATGATACAACTTTCAATTTGACTGAGTTGCCGAAGCGAATAAAAGTCTTATTGTATCATGTCGTGGAATAGGTGCAAATGTGTCTCCATAATCCAAACCTGAAACTTGCGCATAATCTTTCACAACAAGCGTGCTTTATATTTATAAAATGAGCTAGCTGGATTAAGTTTGGTTCTATCAACCCACTTCACCCCTATTACATTTCTGTTTTTGAGTTTATCAACCAACTTTCAAGTATCATTCTTCTCTATTATACCAATCTCCTCCTTCATAGCTTCAATCCAAATTTCATGTCTTGATGCTTCTTGATAACTATAGTAAAACCTCACTAAATTAATATAGGTGGGATTACGAAATATTATTATTATTTTATAGAGGTATTATTTAATCGATAAATAAGAGTTTTTTGAGATTCAATGAAGGCTAATTTTGTTACATCAAAATCATTGTACCTTACTAATTTATTTATCATATTCATTGAATTCAAATAAAAAATAAAATTATTATACATAAAGTACAAAAAATACATCAAAATCATTACATCTTATTAAATTATATATCATATTTATTGAATTCATATACAAAAATAAATTCATTATACATAAAGTACAATATATATGTATGATTCATTGTAATATATTTTTTTGTTAAATGATTCATTGTAAAATAAATTCATTATACATAAAGTACAATATATGTGTATGATTCATTGTAATATATTTTTTGTTAAATGATTCATTGTAAAATAAATTCAAGAATTCAATGATTCATTATAAAAATAAATTCACTATACATATTATTCTTTGTTTCTTAATAATCAAATATTATTCATTGTATCTTAAATATTATTAAAGATTACTTTAATGTTAAACTCAAAATAATTGAATAGTCAAGATTACTTTAATCACTACAGTCTCTCTAGTCAATCAAACCAAGTAAATTTATGGCTTCATATTAATGTTAAATTCAAAAGAAGTGAATAGTCAAGATTACTTTAATTACTACATTCTCTCTAGTCAAACAAACCAAGTGAATGTATTGCTTCATTAATGTTAAATTCAAAATAATTGAATACTCAACTCTTCTAAACCACTATAAATAGACTTTTTACTATAGTCATTCATACATCACCAAGAATTCAGAAAGAAATGTCAAAAATTCTTTTAACTTTGTTTGCTCTAGCTCTAATTTTAGGCCAAACAAATGGAGTTATTCAATGTGGGACTGATGTTCTACCAAAAGTAAAACCTTGTGGAGGTTTTGTACTAGGTCAAGATGCAAAACCTAGTCAAGATTGTTGTGTTGGTTTGCAAGATTTGGCTAAAATAGCCACTGCCTCACAATCAGACCGCAAAGATATTTGCATTTGCTTCAAAGCTCTAATGAAAGCTGGCCAAGTGAACTTTAAAAAAGCTAAACAACTTCCTAATCTTTGCAACTTCACTACCTTTATGCCAATTACACCTAATCCTGATTGCTCCAAGTAAGCATTTCTCATGACCAGTGACACCCCTTTGACGGAAAAATTACATTGTATAAATAGGTAAAATTTTATTTTTGTATTTATATATATATTAATGTTGACGTCTCTTGACACAGGGTGAAGAGTTAGTGCAATGGTTGAGGGGTAGAAAAAGTTTTGAATCGTTGTTGGTAGGTAAGGTGATTACTACTTTATATTTTGACACCCCTAAATTAAAATCCTAGCTTTGACACTATCTCTATCTCAATTTGAACATGATATTATGAATGGAGCTCCTCTTCATTTCCTTTTTCTCTATTTTCCCGAAGTTCTTACTTGGATGGAAGACATGCGTCATGGTTAAACATGAATGGTTGATATTTAATTATTTAAAGTAAAATTCTGATCATGGTTAGGATAGTGGATTTTTCCATTTATTTGCTTTCAATTGTTTTGGAAAATTTCATAATTTTAATAAAGTATTATTTCATCATAAATATTTTAAATACTTTTCTCTGTTTGCAACTTAGGTATATCAGTTCTTTTTTAAATAAATAAAAAAAACAAAATTGATGAGTTTTTTAAAAGAAAAAAACATGTAAAGTGAGAAAATAAGAAATATCTAATGTTTGTAGGAGTAAATTCAAAGAATCCTAGTTAAATCAACCTATAATATTATAAAATAAAAAATAATTAAATTATAAATAAAAATATTGTCCAATGTTAATACTTTTTTAGTCATTACTTAAGAGGCTGACTTATCAATTGTTAAAGATTAAAAAAAAAAAGGGTACACAACAAATAAATTAACTTGAAATACAAAAACAAATTTTAACAAAAAAAATACAAAAACTAAGAATAGAAATTTCGCAATTTTTTTTATAAAAAAAAGAATTATCTAAAAGTTCAACATTACTAAGGAAATATCTATTTAATTATGCAAGGTTTGACCTTTAATTAATTAAATCTCAATCATTTATTTTCAATCATGGCATATATCTTTCATCCAAGTAAATACACTTCCATTTACGTATTTATTAGTATTTTTTTAAAAATTAATTTTATTATCTTGATTTACCGTTTATTCTTTGATGTGTGATTTCAGGATTATTCGAAGAAGTAGAATAAGGTAGTTTCTAGAAGAACGACCAATACAAATATTGTAAATTTTATTTACTGACAAAATTGGCATCTCTGTCTTAATTAAATGTAATAGAAAATTCACTAAAAAGTTATGTTTAACCATTATTCAAACTCTGATTTTAATCTATATGCATCAGATTGCCTCAATATACTTGAAGTGTAAATTAATTATTATACTAACAAGTTATTTTTAAAATATAAATACAAATAATAATTCAATAAAGGGAAAATTAGTAACTCATAATAACATAATAAAATATATTGATAGAGTAAAAATATTCATATAACAGTAGTGGTTGTAATGCAAACAACTAGAGATGTTTATTTATGTCCAATAGAAACACATGTGATACATACAATACTAAAATTTGGGTCAAAATCGACAGAAAAACGATTTTAAATCGATGGACGATTGTCGATTTTTCATTCATCGCTTTCAAGAACCCGAGGAATAATCGATCTTGTGAGTTGGTAAAAATCAACATAGATGGTCCATTTTTAATAAATATAAATGAAAGATGTAGCTACTTGAAATCAAATTCAAATATTTTCAATGACATTGGACAATTATATCACTCGACCACACTTGCTCTTCAATGAAATATTTCCATCATTCTTATTTATATGCTTCAACTACAATTTTGCACTTCAAAAATTGATCTTATCCATAGATTTTTATAAAAAATATAATTAAAAAACGACATACTGCATCTATTTTTTTAAAAAAAATAACGTTTAAAAATTATAATTTTGTACGAAATAATGTCCTTATTTGTGTTGGGCCCGAAATTAAAAGAATTGTTTTGGATTAATTAAAGTAGGGAAAATTACGCGGGCACCATTATTTTCAAAATAGACAATTAATTCAATTATATAAATTTTACGGTGAGAACAAGTTGACGAGCAAGTAGGTAGTAGCAATCTTTATATAGTAATATATTAGCAAAAAACATCATTCACTTACAATTGTCCTCGACGAGTTTTCATATTTTGAAAACGGCCAATAATGACATCATTACTTACATTTTTAAATATACTACGCTCTATTTAGCAAACTAAACAACCATTCAAAAGATCTTCATCCATCCTATTACGCAAATCATTCTTTATGTACTTCATTGATGAGAATGCTCTTTCCACGCTTGTGGTAGCAACATGAATAAGCAAAGTTAGCTTCACAAGTAGATACACAAGTGACCAAGTTTGATCTAGTTTTGTCTCTATCATCACTTTTGCAAGATCCTTGATTCCCTTCAAGTTGAGAAACTTGCTATCACACTTTTGAGCATAGACAATAAAATCATCAAGTTGAAAATTGAGTTCCCGAAGCTCTTTATCACCAAACTCACTTGGGTAGTACTCGGCTAGTTTCATTATCCTATCCTTGTGAAAATTAGCAAATGAATCAACCGGACTCAAACTAGCCATACCGAGGAGCAAGTCACTAGTCACCACATCAAAACGATTATTGAGTTCTTGAAGTGCCAAATCAATGACGGCATAAAATACTTCCACACGAAAGTGATGCAAATATGAAATATTGGACCTCTTACGCTTCGACTTCCCATTAGAGTAGTCTTCATTCATTTTGGGAATTGAAACTCCATGTTTACCACAAAATAAGCTAACCTCATCCATCATAGAGTCCCATTCATCCTCTCTCATCATTTGCAATCGTTTCTTTGAAAGGTCAAGCAATCCCATAGCATTAACAATATCTTGATCTTTCTTTTGTAAAACTTTATTCAACTCATTCGTCAATAGCAACACCTTAAACATCAAGTGCAACATAAAGACAAATTCAAATTCATGAATCTTGCTCAAAAGATTTTCCGCCGTAAATCTATCAAGATAATAAGGACAATCACGTTTCATATTCTTAAGCACATTAACAATTGAAGAAAAAAGAATCAGGAAATTGTCCAAGGTTTTAAAATGAGACCCCCAACAAGTATCACCCGGTCGTTGGAGGCCACGTTCTTGATTCAAACCTTGCCCTGTATGAACTTCTCCAAATTTAAGCAACTCTTCCAACTTATCTTCTTGATGTTGTCGAAGTGAATCTCTGCGTTTAAATGAAGCTCCAATAGTATTCAAAATATTAGTGAGAACATAAAAAAAATTATCCACATCCGAATTCTTTTTGGAAAGACCTACAAGTGCCAATTGCAATTGGTGAGCAAAACAGTGAATAGAATATGCAGATGACGTATCTTGTAAATCAAAGACTTGAGACCATTTATTTCCCCTTGCATATTACTAGCCCCATCATAACCTTGACCACGTATTTTGGATGTACATAATGAGTGATCCAAAAGCAAAGAATAAATTGCCTTTTTTAATGATTGAGAAGATGTATCATTTAC